TTGTACAATCCCAAACTGCAACTGTTAGGACTGTCACTGATGCCCTCCCTTTGCCTTCTTGAGAACTAAGACAGCAGGAATTCAGGTGAGGTTTGAAAGAAAGTCGAACACAGACACAAGAAGAGGGATTGGATTTCTAATGCTTCGCCACAAAGATGATAAATGCCCATTAAAGTCAATTTGGAGCAAAAAGGAAAAGAAAGGAATTTTCTTTTTTTTATATATAATTCCATACATTTATCCAATGCATAATGATCAAATTAGGATAACTGGCATTTTCATCTCAAATATCAAGCAAGGAAAGGAATTTTCACACAATCCTTTGGCTGTAGTGATTGCCTGGCAGCGTTTTAGGATTTCTCCAGTTTTTTCTGTGCTACCATTTTCTTTTGCATCCATTCATTGTGCTCTGGAGATGCAGTCTTAAATCTTGGAGTGCCTTAACTTGGAGGAGCTGTACATAGATGGGACAGAGATCAAGCATCTGGACCCTCATTTGCATTTGCTCCTCTTTCTATGATTAATCTCCTAGCTCCTTGGTTTCCTCGTTTGTAAGGCATCATGTTGCAATCTTTTATGTAGGATTACTATGAGAATCGAAGAATGCAATACTGCAGGCAAAGCAGCTATATAGAGTGGTAGCAATACTGATGGACTGTCTGGGAGCCTAGCCCCTAGCATTGTGTGACACTGGCACTGTGTAGAGTGAGTCAGACCAGACATGATTGGTGCTTTTCTTTCACGTACAGTCACTAGAACTGAAGAGCCACAATGGTAGTCAGGCAGGGTAGGTGAATGACAGGCACTCAGATCTTGGACAGATTATGTGATGTCACATACATTGAAGGCCTACTGTGTACTCAGTCCTTGGTAGGTGCTGGGAGTTGCAGGATGTCACAGTTACTGGAACATAGGCGGCAGTCACTAAAGCCAGATTCCTGGCCATAGAATTGCTAGACACAGACTGTCTTTCCTTTTTGGGTTTTCAAGAGTTTATAAACATGCTGGTTGCAAAGCTTGTGAAATTACCTGCAGGTTTTGGTTTGGTAAGCACTTGTCATCCTCTAGCCAGGCCTTTTGAGTTCCAGAATTATAGGTATGCATTACTACTCTGGGCTAGCTACCTTCTATTTTGTGTTGCCTGGGTAGCCACTGGTCACATGCTGCATGTGGCTGACTACTGAATACCTGAAATGTGGCAAATATGATGAAGGAATCGAATTTTCAGTTAATATGAATTTAAATGGTAACACGAGCAGCTGGTGGCCGCTACATGAGATGATGTAGCTCTAGGGCAGCCTGGGATGGTTTCTTCCTACTCCTTTCTAGAAATCTTATGCTCCCAGCTTTGAGACCACTGTTCATTTTCTGGTTCTGTTAGTGCTCCTTTATCTCCTAATAATTTCTGTTCACTAACAACTGTCTGTGCTCAGCCTTCTCCTTTTCCTCCTGCATTTTCTTCTTTAGACAGCCCTTGAGCTCCAACCCTGATCTGTGTATAAATGATACCAAATGGCTTTTCTAGCCCTCACTCTCTCTGGCTTCAGACCCATTCCTAACCTTAGCCTGGCAGTATCCTTTGGGCATTCTGCAGTCACTTTGGATCTGCAACGACTATAACTAACATCATCATTTCTTCCCCTCCTCCTCTGTTTCACTCGGCTTTTTCTTCTAGGGAATCACTGTTTTTCTTCTTCCCTTTGGTGTCATGTCATTTGTGATGCAATTCCCTCTCTGTTGACCACCCCTCCCTAGCCATTGTAGACTTTGGGATTCTTCTTGTACAGTTGTCTTGTTTTCATTTTCAGGGGTTGGTTCTATCTCTTTTTATGATTATAAAAGTAAAAAATATTTATTTTTGAAAAAAATTGTTATTGTCTCAAAAATGCCAAAAAGGAAAGGAAATGTAAAAGAAAAAAGAAAGAAAGAAATAGGAAAAGGAAGCTTCTTAGTGCGCTTGACCTCCTGGAGGCCAGTTTGGTGTTTTTGGTGTGTGACTTGCCACATATGACCTCTCTTACCCTCCTGCTTGGATTACTGTGGCTGAGAATGCTCAGTGTCTCCCCACTCTAATCCACTGCTATTTCCTAAGGCACGGTCCTCATCCTGTCTTTCTTCTGTTCCGCTCATAAATCTCCAGTGGCACCTAGTTGTCTGCTGAATTAAATTTGTCCCCACTGATGGGACACCACACCAAATCAATCTTTACTTTCCTTGGTGTTCAACAGCCCCAGGGTGTGTGGGAGAAGAGCTCAATGAAAAAGTTACGGTTGTGAACAGACACCTACTTAGGTTTGAAGTTTTTCAGCACTCTAATTTCCATTGTTTTCTTTCTAGAGAACAAAATCCTAAAGTTATGATATTTTAGGTCATGTTTGCTGCCATTATTAGACTGGATTTTTGAAACATATGTTCTTACTGTTTCATTTACTGAGATAATTGCTGTTATATTTCTGCTTTTTTTCTAACACAGCATAAGACCCCACAAGGTTAAGAATTTCCACTTTTAAGTTCTGGGAGAAAACTGAACTCTTCTCCATTGATGAAAAACTATAATTTTCTTTATCTAGAAAGATCAGTACTAATAATTACCCCTACTTATGCCTTCTTAACCCTAGTCTGGAGATCAAATTCAGGCACTTGTGTATGACAGGGAAGTAGCATGTGTTCCATACCAGTTCCAGCAGAGTCTTGACACGTTGATTCAATTGAAAACAAGCCAGTAGGGCCCCGAGAGATGGCTCGGCAGTTAAGAATGTATTGCTCTTGTAGAAGATCTGAGTTAGGTTCCCAGCATCTGAATTTGGCAGTTCAATGGTCCCCTGTAACTCCATTTGAGGAGGTCCAATGCTCTCTTTTGGTCTCTGCAGGCATGTGAATTCTTGTGGTACATTATACAGATAAGAAGGCAACATACACATTATTAAAAATAAACTTGAAAACACGAACATTACTTAGTAATAAAATTACTTATTGTGTGTCTGTAGGAAATAGAGTCCTCCATGGGAACTCTTGACTTCAGGGTCTTCCATGGCTAGTGACTGCTGTGCATCCGGGTCTTGGGGATTGAGAATCTTTCTGGGTTCCCCTGCATTTGACAGAAAGTACAGCTCACTGGATCCAGAGCCAGGCAAGATATCTCTTAGGCTGTGGTCTCCTAAGGATTTGGGAGAGGTAACAGAAGAGGAAGAGGAAGAGGAAGAGGAAGAGGAAGAGGAAGAGGAAGGAGTAGAGGAAGAGGGAGGATGAATTTGTCAAACTGTGTTTTATGGCTTGAAATTTAATTTTGTGGTCAATGAACACAAATTTAGTCTTTAACAAACTGTGTTCTCAGCTATGTCTTATTTATCTTTTAGTAACTCCCTGGCCATAGTAAACAATTAATAAATGGCTGCCATTATTAGGATTCTGATGAAACAGATGGTTTCCATAAACACATTCTCCACTTTTGCCTTTTCTTTTCTTCTACACTGATATCCATCTTCCTGCTGGATGCTATACATGTTTGCACCTTTGCCTGGTAGTATGGGTTCTGCCAGACCCGCCTTTCTACCTTCTTCTCACCTATTAAAATCCTATTTACACATTCAGGACTAGACTAGTTCCTTGTCTTCACATGAGATGGCTCCTGGTTGGAGCTCATTGTTTGTTTTCTCTGTCTTGTTTTTCTGTCCCCAATCCCTATAGTATGCTACTTGGTTGTTTATATGGTTCAAATCTCTTTCTCAAATTTGATGGAGAATGTTGAAGACATTTATGATGTCCTCTATGGCTATTGTAGAGTTGTGCATGTACTATGCACACAGTCAGATGCATGTGGCTCTAGCTGTGGTGAGATTCCAGAGTCATTCATTCTTCACTGACCTTCTGGAACTGTAGAGTGAGTACCATAAACCTTCCATGTGCCCAGAGGTCCCACGAGGTCCCAGAGGTCTCATTGCTACTGAGCTGTGAGGTTTGAGCTCTCACTGCAGACTGGGTCTTGAGGTTTACAGTTAATGTACATGGTACTCTATCAGGCTGTAATCCTGTTTTCAGAGAGCTCCAGGGTTTATAATGATGCTCCATTTGAAACTCATTATCACAAAATAGAGGTCTACCTTGTCTTCAAGCTGCAAAGATGGAATCAAGAGAAGATAATGATACTTACCCAGATGATTGGCATTCACTTTGTGAGGCAGGATCTGGGAAGCAACAGGCTATTTCAATTTCCATATCTGTCAAGTAGGAAGGATATTATGAGGATTGAGTTTATGCATAAAAGGTGTTTAAGATAACTATCGTCCATCATCCATGTATTTATGTATATATGTATGTATGTATGTATGCATGTATGTATGTATGTATGTATCATCTATCTATCTTTTATTATTTATGCTCAAAATACTCATTATACTTTACACACTTCTTTAGCATTGTTTAATGAGTAATTTTGATGTTGCCAGTACCATAAAGATATAAACCCTCATGTCCACACAAGCCACTTTTCATCCTGGAGAGATGAAAGAAGTATCAATAACCCTCAGCTTTAAACAGTACTAGCTTAGTTTGCATGCTGTCCACCTCATGCCTTAATGTAACCTGCCATTCCAGGTCGAATGGCATTATAGTCATAGACTTGGTTCACCTCTTTTGTGGATCGTAGGGATTGAAAGTAAGTCTGAATGGAAAGGAACCAAAACTTCCCTTTGCTTCTGCAGTGCCCCAGTCCTGGGGTGGTGGTGGTGGTGACAATGGCAGTTTCATAGTTATTATAAGACAATTACATCAACAGAGCTTGTCTATCTCTCTCACATTTCAAAGGAACATGTGTCCAAAGAGCCTCCCTCTCCTTTAATGATTTTGACATTGTCACATCATACCCAAGTGCAAAACTATGACAATACCTCTTGCCTCAGCTGTCAAAAGTACCATGTAGGGACACATTGCAGTTGAAAAGAGAGAATGGCCTCTTTATGGTGACTGGCTTGGAATTATAAATATTTTCATTTCTCCCGTAGGAGATGGCTCATGGAAGAGAGGAGACAAACACGACTTTGAAGCTAAGCAAGCATACTCATCCCTCCAAACAGTCACCCTACTGAGGACCGTGAAACCTGAGTTTGAGAAGTTTTCCATGGAGGTGAAAAGTTCTGTTGAGAAACAAGGGCTCAATGAGGAGGATTACGTAAGTGCTTGATTATGAGCCCCGCCCTTCAGCATCCTGAAAGCAGGCGTCTAATTAAACCAGAGGTGACAAAGTATCCCATTCCAAGTCATTCAAAAATTCTGAGTTCAAGTCTGAATGTCACTGTTGCCTTCCATGTGTGTTTTTTTCCTGGCCACTTTCCCTCCCCCTCCCCCATCCCATCATCATTGCTGCCATTCACTCACTCTTCTCCTTTACAACAGCTGCAGGGTGGAAAACTGCCTTTTGCTGGGGACCTGCAATTGCAGAGCGCGGTGGGAGGAGGCAGTTGAAGGAGTGCCCAAGTTTTGCACGGCTAATTTGTCCAAGCCTTGGTGGCAGAGATATTTTAGGTTTTGGAGGCTCTCTCTTTTGACAGTCTGTGTCCTCTTCTTGGTTGGTCTGCTCCTGTCTCTTGCAGGGCAGTGGGTTTTTTTCTTCTGTGACAAGCTGCTTCCTACTTGGGTGTTCTAGGTCTTCTTGCTCCAGTAGTGCTCTTGACTTATTAATTCATTTTAAAGCAGCTCAGTTCTGGGCTCAGGGTCAAGCCCCTCCCTGGGTGCTATTGTTTGGGCAGCCTTTGGCCCTTTTAGCTATGTTTCTGAAATGTCTGCCATAATGTCTAACCCTTTCTCTGAACAGGACTAGGAAAAGGCTTTTGAGTTAGTAGTCTGGGCATGCTGGTCTCTCTCTCCTTCCCTGACAATAATGAGAATATAAAGGTATTTTATGTTTTCCTCTATGTTATTTTACCTAATGGTCCATATTATCTTTATGATTTGAAAACTCAGTGACAGTGTCATGTGTCTGGATTTCTCCCTGAAGTTGTTAAGTTCAATTATTCCATCATACGTTGTCTGACATTAATGAGACTTATTGGACAACAGTTGGCTTTTCAATATGCTCCTTGGATATTCTGGATTATCACTTATTCTTGGGGAGAAACCTAAATCTTATTTCAATTCTAGTCCAAGTCAAACCTCATTACGAAGGCATGGCTACTGTGACAGTTCTTAGTGTTTTCCAAACCGGATCCTAGTATTTTCAAGAGTATTTGCATCTGTGAATTAAAATATGGCCTCTCCATGCTGCTTGACTTTTAAAGTCAATAAAACTTATAATTTTAAGTAGAATTGTGGTAGTTATAATAATTTATTCTAATTCTGAAGATACATTCATTTTCCTTTCCTCTTTTTTCTCAGTTCTGGGAGTCAACCCATGGTGTTCTCTCTCTCTCTCTCTCTCTCTCTCTCTCTCTCTCTCTCTTTCTCCTTGTAAATGTGTGTGTGTTCCATCACCCAGCCCATCACCCACTTTACCCTTTCTGTAGTGCTTCGGAACACCAGTTGTTGCTAAGGTTAGTCAGCAGCCTGGGCCCTCAAGGAATCTAGACCAGTGCCACGGGATGCCTCATCAGTCTGAAGGCATCTCGCAGACTCAGCTTTCCTCTAGGTCCCTTAGCTTCTCATATTTGCATCCATGGGCTATCCTATCTGTGTGTGCAGAACTTAAGTTCACAGAGCCTAGCTTGGGCTCTGCACCTCTGTCTTTATCTCATACCCAGCAATTTTGTGGACCCATTAGTTCTCATCTGCCCCAAACTTTCCCCTGACAGTCACAGTCTCTGAGCAGGGTCTGATTTTTTTGTTGTTGTTGTTAGTTCCCTTTTAATGCTTTTATTTTGTAATGCTTATGCTACTGTGCCTATTGCTTAATTAAAATTGCATTTAGTTAAATTTACAAATTATATTAAGTATATTGAATGAAAATAAAATACATCAAAATTGTAACTTTTATGGTGCTGGCAAGGATCCCAACATGGTACTGAGTTGTCTAAACATTAAAATGAAAGAGCATGCCACAGATTTCTTATCTGTTTGTGTCCCTACAGATGACATTATTCTATCTTGCTGGTGCGTGAAGCAAAATGCTTACTATGGGGGGTTGAGAGACTATCTCAGATTAAGAAATTCCCTTTCAGTTTTCTTTGGTGAAGATTTTCTGCTTTTCTTAACTGACATGTTTTCTTGAGATAACTGAAACAAAAAAAATGGCACAAGCATTAAGGATTGCATTGTCCAGGGTGAGGAAAGGCCTTGTGCCTTTGAAGTTTTGTTTTAGCATTGGAAACTGAATGAAATTCCTGTTCCAATTTTACATCTATTAGAGTCACATTAATATTAGAATGTTGCCAGTAGTAAAGGTTATGATCTTTTCAAAACTGGAAATATATGAAATTAAATTTTTTTAAACAAGCTATACTGTGACATTGGAAGGACAGAATAACAATGATTTCTTTTAATAGTAAAATGATCTGACTATTTTAATAGTACAATGATTTTTACATTTTTTGCTTGCTAAACTTGGATGGGATAACTCAATTTTTTATGTTTACGTGTGGGCATATGTGTACTCAAGCATGTGTGCCTATGTATGTTGAGGTCAGTGGTTAATGTAGGGTGTCTTTCTTACTCTCCATCTTATTTATTTATTGAGATAACGTTTCTCACAGAACCTGATGCTTGTTGATTCAGCTAGAAGGGCTAGTCAGTGACTTCCAGAGGCCTTTCTGTATCTGCCTTCCCTAGTCTGGGATTATAGGCATATGCTGCTATGTATGTCTGGACTTTTACATACGTGCTGGAGGTTGAACTCAGGTCCTAAAGCTTTTGCAGTAAGAACTCTACCAAATGAACCATCTCCCTAGGTCTGATTGATAGAACTTTGTTTCTGTAAAATTGGTCTTCATCTCCATCACTTGCTCCCTATTTTAAAATATTAACAGTTACATAAGAAAAACAGGGGAAAGAGATTTATTTCTTATTGAGGACGTGGGCAACAGTAGGTTTCCCATGCTCCAGTGGAGGGAATGTATATATAGACAATAATAACTGGATTTAGTGTTTTTTTTAAAGATATGAAGTTGGGAAGGGGCATGTTTGGAGGACATGAAGAGATTAGAGGTGGGTGGGAGGCAGATAGGATCATTTTTCATTGTGCATATGTAAGAAATTCACAAAAACAAAGGAAAATAGTGACAAAAAAATGGAGTGTAAGATGCCATACAGAGAGATCCCTGCATAGAATGCCCAGTTTCTCCATGGTAACATTTGGGAAGATTATATATTAAAAAGATGTCAGTTTGGTGTGTTCATTGGTGTCATCTTTAATGGCCGCTAGAGGAGCTAGAAGGAAGTTATGGAAGAAAAGCTAAGGACTTTAAGCAAGCTGAACAAGGTCACCAATGGGTTCACAGATGAGGCAGAGTCAGATTGGCGAGACCTAGGGTGGGCCTGAGGACAGTGAGCTTTTCTTATAAGCTCAAGGGACAGAGAACAGGGAATGCCAGACAGGCTGGTGAGGCTTGATCTCTGAAACCATGTACAAAAAGGAGATGTATGTATGCAATCCTAACTTAAAATTCAACTTCTACATTCCCCAGTAGGGTGATTGCTAAGTAAGAAGAGGACTATCATTAATGATTAAAAATGGAAACCATAACTCATACCCCACTTCTGAGGGATCTCAGAAAGTATAAATAGAGAATTCATGTGGTCTGCTAACACAATAAACCAAGAGTTAGATAATCTTAACCAAAAGATAGGAACAATATTTACATAATATAAGTAAAATATTATGTTTCTATATGAGCTGAAGAAATAGTGTGGTATAAATGAGTTTTCATCTAATAGCTTTAAATTATCTAATGCAAAAAACCTCATCCCTTTTCATGTTCTAAAGGTGTCCAAAACTTCCATGACTTGGTCCTATGAGATATTTGGTATTTATAGTCCAGCCATCTGGGAATGGTGGGCACATGGTCACATGGCTGCAATCCTAGCACTTTGGAAGTTACACATGAGGTTGAAGACTTGAAAGTTTTCGACTACATAGTGAATTCAAGGACTTGGGCTTACACAAGACTGTTTCAAAAACACACAAAGATTTTATAGCCTGAATATATATTTATTCTGAAGGAATAAACTTCTTTGCAAAAAAAGATGTCAGCCATGTTTTTGGCACTGAAAAATGCCCTCAAAACACTCAAGATTTCTTGTTTTACTTATGCTAGTGTGAATGGTATGCTCTAAATACCTTATTATCTGTGTGGATTTTTGTGTTTGAATTCCATCCAATGCCTTGATTTTTCTTTCTTTAACTTTTGAGATAGGATCTCATGCAGCCCAAGCTAGCCTTGAACTCACCATTTAGTTAAGGATTCCGGATACTCCTGCCTCAACCTCACAAGGGCTGGAATTACTATACTTGGCTCCATGACTACTGTGACAGTTTCTTCACTCTCTTATAAGGTTATATATTAGTTGCATTTCTCATTGCTGTGTGTGGTAGTTTGATAAGAATGACCCCCATAGGCCCATATATTTGAATGCTTGGTTATCAGGGAGCAGCAGGATTTGAAAGGATTAGGAAGATTGGGAGGTGTGGCCTTGTTGAAGTTAGGGGTGGCCTTGTTGGAGAAAGTGTGTCATTGGGGTTGGACTTTGAGGTTTCAAAAGTCCATACCAGGCCAGGTGTCCTCTCCCTCCCTCCTTCTCTTCCTCCTTCCCTCCCCCCCTCTCTCTCTGTCTCTCTCTCTCTCTGCCTGCAGATCAGGTTGTTGCTCTTAGCTACTGGCTCCAGTACCATGTGTGCTGCCATTCTCCCTGCTGTGATAATGATGGACTAAATCTCTGAACCTGTAAGCAAGCCCCCAATTAAATGCTTTCCTTTTGAGAGTTGCATTAGTCATTACAGCAATAGAAAAGTGACTAATACACAAAATATCCAACAATAGAAACTTAAGGAAGAAAGTTTATTTTGGCTCATGGGTATGGTACACCATGGTGAAGAAAACATGGTAGCAGGAACATGATGAGGTGGTGGGAGCATAATGAAGCATCTGGGCACATGGTACACATAGTCAGGACACAGATGAATCGATGAAGTCTGGTGGCCAATTCACTTTCTTTGTTATGTATTCTGGGAAGCCCAGGCCATGG